TAAATAGCCGGTCTCTGGGCGGAGGTGGAGAGCTGTACACTTAGGAATGGAGGTGCGAATAGTCAGTGCCCAGGCTGTGGGGTGCGGGCTGTCTTCTTGGGCATGTCTGTCTGTCGGTCTGGATTGAGAAGATGCAGGAAATGGCACGGGGAGAAGGGGACTGTGGTCTGTGGCTGTGAGGCTGCCTGGCTGTGGATCTCCTTTCCCTCCCTGGGATTCCTCCATGTGTCCCCAGGGACTGGCCTGCCAGGGCTCACATCGCTGTTCAGGACGCAGACCACTAGTAAGAGGGCATCACGATAGCCCCATGGACCCCTGCTGGTCCCAGTCTCCTGCAGTTGAGGGCTGGTGGGAGCCCAGAAACCAGGACCATTTACAGCACTTCTACGGCTTCAGTCCTGAGGGTGCTGGGCAGCTTTGAGCCTGACTCATCCAAAAACACTTTATAAATAACCTGGTGGAGGGATGTGGGCTGTCCACGCCCCCCCTCCGCCCCATGCTCTGAGCAGGTGTCAGCACTACAGTGCTAGGTTTCCATGCTGTGCAGGGTGCAGCACCTCTGCTCTGGTGAGGATCCAGGGCAGGGTACTGCCAGGAGTGTTGTCAGTCTAGGAGTGGCAGAGAAGAAGGGCTGGGGCACCCCAGAGCCCTCTGCCCAGCCACAATGTTGTTGGCACCCTAGCCTTCAGTGGGGAGCCTTAGGGATTTCTGGTGGGCAAACAAAGCCAGTGTGGGCCGAACTTGCTGAATGACCCAGGGTAAGTCTCTCCCCAGTCTGGTCTCATAGCCCTCACTGATAAGATAAGAGGGTGGAATCATGTATGTAGGTCCTGTCTTGCTGTTGTAGTTTTGATTCTCCTTAGTGGGCACAGGTTGTCATTCTTAAATTAGACTCCACCAATATTTACTGAGCCCCTGTGTACCTGGCTCTGTGCTAAGTGCCCTGAGCAAACATATTGAATAAGGCTCATCTGCTGCTGGTTGGCCAGTTGGCTGGGGCCTTTGCTGATCTGCCAATGTCAAGGTCCTGTGCCAGGCCACAGCTGTGTAGGTACTGGTTGTCCAAAGGACCAGCAAGGGGTGTGGCAGTGGGCCAGGTAGACGTGGGAACACCTGGCCCTGATGTGGAAGGACACTGTGGGCTCCATGCTTTTTTTTTTTTTTTTTTTGAATTTCCCCCAGTAGCCTGGTCCACCAGACAGGTCCGAGGACTTTCTCAAGGTCACACAGCTGAAAGTGGGAGTGACCATACTTTGGTGTTCTGATTTCCAGCTCAGTTTTCAAGGGAGGAGTGACTGCTATTTCTTTCCTCTCTGTGTGGAAAGATCTAAGGTTGCCAAGATGGTGCCAGGAGCCAGCTGCCCATGCTTGCTGTTGATTAGGGTTCTGCTCTGGTCTTGGGCTGGGGAGGACACTATCCCTGGCACTCAGTGCTGAGTCTGGCGCATTCTAAGTGTGACTGAGTGACTAGACATTCCCACGTCAAATGCTGGGTATGTGCGCCACGGTGGGGATTAGGAGGAGCCTGTGTGCCGGACAAGCAGGGTCTGCTGCTGTCCAAAGAGAGCGCTTGGATAGGGCTGATTTTTGTCTCTGAGAAGAAGAGATGTTTGACTGGTTAGCCTTGGGCAACTGATGTGAGTGTGGCACGGCCTGTGTGCTCACAGCTGGAGCCCTTGCATCATAGATAGTGAGCTCCCTGGCCCCAAGTGGGTGGTCTCCTGGAAGGGCAGGGAAGTTCCCAACATGGCCAAGTGTTAGAGGCCTGGAGGAGTTTATTTATATTACAAGTCCCTTGTCCTCTTCCTACTGAGCAGGACCCCTGGCAGAGGAAGTGGGAGTCTCTGAGTTGTACAGCATCTATGGCAGCCTGATGGTCCATGGGGCCTATGGCCATCAGAAGGCTGGGGCTCCCTCCCTTTTTTGTAGCCTTTCTCACCACTTATCACCTTTTAGCATGTTATGTATTTGTATTATTTATTACTTGTCCTTCCCACTAGAATAAAAGCTCATGAGAACAGGACTTTTTTGGTCTGTTTTATGCTTCACTGTATCTCTTGCATCTAGCTCAGAATTGGTACTCAATAATATGTGCTGTAATTTTTGTATTATTATTTCTGGAGCATGGACAATAGATTGGACCAACCTTCCTCTGCTGAATGTGATTTTCCCTGTGATCAGGGTCTTGGAGGTGGCTTAGCTGGTCTGGAAGGCGTTTACTCCAGGCAGATCTCCTCCACAGGAGCCCTGGAGCTGCAGGCAACTAGTGGCCTGCCTCCTCCCCCACTGTAGACATTCCTGCTTATTTCAAAACAGTCTCTCCACTCCCTCTGGGGCTCCCTCTTGCCAGGAAACTCAGCGAACACTGGGGGTGTCGGCTGGCAGCCTGGGTGCCATCTCATTCGGGAGGAATTTCCCTGGTTCCCAAAGCAGCTGTGTGCCTGGGAGCCCTGAGCCTAGGTGGCCTGATTTAAATCCTGGGAGCAGGGCTGCAGCTGCAGTCTCCCCTCCACCTGGATCTCCATGCTGGGGCCTCTTTGAAAAGTCTCCTGGTCTTACATGTCCCTACCCCAGGGAATTGGTCTTTCCTGACCTTTGGGTTGTGTTCAAGCATGGAACAAGGTCCTGTGGTCTTCCTTTCTTTAGGAGTGTCTCCCAAAGCCACCTTGTATCTCTAAGATCCCTCCCTCTGAAGAGTCCCAGTGCCAGCCCCTGTCAAGCCCTCTTAGCTACATCCCACATGCTTATTGCCTGGCCTATTGGAGTGGCTGATGTTCTAACACATTCCCCATATACTGTGTCCTCTTGGGGAACTTTAGGACACGCAATGCGTCATTCCCAGGTGTGGCTAATAGAACTACAGACTGGCAGGGGCAGGATTTCAGCCTTGCCTGGGCTGGTGGAGTGGCTCAAGTGGTAGAGTGCCTGCCTAGCAAGCATGAGGCCCTGAGTTCAAACCCCAGTGTCACCAAAACAAGAACAACACACACACACGGTTGGGGGCGGGGAGAGAGGGAGAGAGAGAATAGCTTGGCTTTTGGTCTCTGAATCTCTTTTAGGGGGAATGGAGACTGCCAGATCTGGAGTCAGAAGGACTAGACCCAGAATACTAACTTTTCTACTGAGCTGTGTCACCTCGAGGAACTTGCTTGTCCATCCATAAAATGGGTGTAGTAAAGGTGGTACCTCCTCCTTGGGTGGCTGTAGAGTTTTTTTTTTTTTTTTAATTTCTTTTATTCATATGTGCATACAATGTTTGGGTCATTTCTCTCCCCTTCCCTCTGCCCCCTCCCTTTCCCCCCACCCCTCTCCCAGCTGTAGAGTTATGTGAGATGATGTATACAAGGCCCAGAGCAAGGGCTCAGCGAAGAGGAGCAGCAGAATGCTGGCCTGGTCTTCCTCTGCCAAGTGTGGAGCCATCAGCAGTGTCCAGCCCTTCTAGGCCTGTCTGAAACCCTGCAGGGCCAGCTGTTCTCTTGCAACCTGCCCTGGGAACCAGGTGAGGGCTGCTTTCCCTGGGGCTGGTTTCTCTCTGGCTGTGGGTTTCCATGCAGAACCTGGTCCTTCCAGCCTGTTCTTTCTGCCCGACCAGCCAGTGCCCTGATGAAGTAGGCCACCCAGGCCCACTTCCCCCAGGAGAGATCTTCGCCCATTGTGTTTGGCAGATCCAACGACTCCAATTAGCAGAGACCTCTCAAGGATCCCCATTTCCTGTAAAATGACTCTTAGAAGGAAGAGCACTCTGTGCTGTTTCTGTAGCAGGGTGGGCTCTCCCCAGCTTGGTTGATCAAACGCTCCCACATCGCAGGACCTCACATCCCCTGGAAGCTTCCTTTCTCCCCATCAGAACAGCAGAACTAGGAACTGTTCTAAATGTGCCCCATGTAGCACTTTGTTTACGCTGCTTTGTGATCCTGGTTTCTTATGTTTCAGTTTTTGGCCAAAGGCCATGGCATCCCTGATTTTCATTCCAAGAAGTTGGGGAGCCAAGTTAGCTTCAGAGGCCCCAGACAGGGAACCAGGGATTACCTGTGTCCCTACCAGATCTCACAGGTTGGGCCTGTCTTCTGCTGAGTCTTTGCAGGCTGTGCCATTCCAGCAGGCCTGGCTTCCCCCACCTTTGTCATCCTACTCATCCCTACCCTCATCTTCCCCTAACTTGCAAGAAAGGAGCTTGTCTATCTTGGAAATCTTAACAATACTTTTTTTTTTGGCAGTGCTAGGGATTGAACCCAGGGCCGCTACATGCTAGGCACTGAGCCACATTCCCAGCCAGACAGATACCTTTAAACCAAGGACTGGGCCTTTCTGCAAGCCTGTTTGTGCCCAGATGCTCACAAATGAGTCCTTCTCTTTGCAGGAAGGGCCTGTGAGGTGAAAGTCATGGTCTTGCAGCCAGGGAGCCTGCTGTCCACTTGGCAGCAAAAGGCTGCTTGGTTGGTTTCTCCTGCCTGGAAAAGAAAGGCTAGGAAGATGTAGAGCCTATCTGACCAGGCTTTCCTGCTGAGCATCCCATCTCCCAGGAATCTCACATTGCCCTAGCCTGTGTTATCTGCACTGAGACCTACCACCAACTTTGTGCATCTTTCCCAAGTGGCGAGATCCCAGCGAAATCCAATGAGTGTCTTGTAGCTGACATCTCGTACGTTTTCTATTTACCCAGCACTGTGCACGGGCCTATGTAAATGACCATATTCACTCACCCCAATTATCTTACAGTGCAGGTGTTGCCACCATTATGAAGATGCAGAAACTGAGGCCCTGGACTCTTGAAGCATGTGCTGAAGGTCAGACAGCCAGAAAGCTGCCAGAGAGCCCAGAATCCAGCTCTCTCTGACCAAGAGCCTGTGACAAATGACTATTACACCATCCTGCCATCAGATCACCTCTGTCCCCGACGCCTGATCCCAGCCTTCTAGAATAAAGGCCCTGTACTTGTAGAGTCTCCAGGCCTGGCTCATGCTGGGCTTGAATACCATCAGGGTGGCATCCCACTCCTTCCGTTAGCAAACTGCTGCTCAACCTCAGAGCTTTCCCTGGGAGGAAATGGTTCCTGCCACTAAGCCCCAAATTCCCAGGGATTCAGCTTATTCTACTCCACATAATTATACCCTCTCATGCCATCTCCAATACCTCCCCCTCCAGAGGGCTTCACACTCCTTAGAGCCTTGTATACAATTACCCTATTCCATTTAACTTGGCAAATCCCGGAGTGTGGGTCTTTTCATCTGTTATAATTATTCCATTTCCTTTGTTCCTGCATTGTTTCAGATATTTCATCTCTGAACATCCTCCAATTTCAGGGTATCTTTCTGGAACACTGGTTGCCAAGAACCCAATGCCAGAAGTCAGGAAAAAGCTCATTAGGAGTGGAGAGAGGGAGGGAGTGTACTCACTGAGCAGAGTTGTGACCTGACAGTAATAGGGCCATCTGGAAGGTCTTACCTCCTTCCTTCCTGAATACCCAGGAATGTCAGCATACTAGTCTGAAGGCAGGAGGGGCTTACTGAGTGCCTTCCTGAGGCACAGAGGGACTGAGACCTGAAGGTGGGCAAGACCCTGCCAGGGAAAGATGTCAGGGTGGGTTTCTCGGAGAGGGGACAGGAAGTGCAAAGCCCTGGGCAAAGACCACTGATCTGAGCAGAAGGGTGATGGAAGGTCAGTGTGCCTGGGCCAAGGTTGGAGGGAAGGTGGCCCAGGTAGGAGGGGTTTCCTGCTGCTGGGACAGGAGCAAGTAATTTAGTTAAGCCCTTGTGTTTTCTTTGTTGGAATGGAGGTAGCAAATTCCCCTCCTAAGCACAGCAGGAGGCTTCAATGAGATCTAGGGGCTGGGCCTGGCACAGGGGAGGGAGTGATGCTTCTCCCTTTTATTTGCACCCCCTAGCTCCTTAAGGACAAACATCCTAATGTCTTGGCTGTCTCTCCAGACTACCCCTTTCTTCCATTCCTCTCCCTCCCAAATGGGGGTCTCTCTTAGTCCACCTGACACCCAGACAAGGCTAGTTAGACTTCGACCAGTCTGAACCCTGTGGTGTCTAAGCTCTGCAGATCCCAGATGATGACACATTGGGAAAGTCTGGGGCCCCCAGGGCGGGCTGCATGCGGCCTTTATCTCCCCTGAAATCTCTAAAATTAAGAACATACTGATGCCTGTGTACCCACCACTCCGTTTTAGATGGTTTCCTTCCCATGTGGAGTCTGTGGTAGGCTTGTCCCCAAGCTTCACTAGAGCTAAGAACTTCCTTGAATTTTGTGTTTATCTTTGTATCTTTCCTGATAGTTTCACACTTGTGTTAATTTACATAAGTAACATATTGTTTTAGTTTTGGAACTTTATATAAATGCAACCATACTGGATATATTCTGCTACCATTTGCGTGTGTGTGTGTGTGTGTGTGTGTGTGTGTGTGTATGTGATGTGAGATTTGTGCAGGTTGTTGCTGCTGTATAGTATTCCATAGTGGGAATGGATCATTAATTATCCATTTTCTAGTCTCAGCTATTTGGGTTGTTTTCAATTTTTTTTTTTTTTGAGACAGGGTCTTGCTACGTAGGCAAGGCTGCCCTTGAACTTGCCATCCTCCTGCCTCTATCTCCTGAGTCCTGGAATAACAGACATGTGCCTGCCTACCACACATGACCTGGGTCTTCTTTTCTATTTACAGAGTGCTGCTGTGAACATTCCCATTTCTGACTGGAAACACACAGACAGTGATATGAACCTAGGAGGGGAATTGCTGGTTAAGTTGTTTTCCAAATTGACTGAAGGTACTGATACTCCCGTAGCAATGTAGATGTGTCCATGTTGCTTCCCAATGCCTGATTTATGTGTCTTTTTAATGGTCGATGATCTGGATAGAGGGTGGTGGCTCATTGTGTTCCCCCCTTGATTTTCTTTAGTGTTCCTCAAATTAGTCATTTTCATTTCTTAAAAGACAGCTTCCTGTTGTAGCTTAGGCTGGCCTCAAACTTGATTCTCCTGTCTCTACCTCCTGAGTGCTGGGATTACAGGTGTGAGTCATCATGCTTGGCTTCATTTTTTGGCATTGGTGAGGTTAAGGTTACTCTCTTCTCTTCAAAATCTGTTTCCATGCCTACATTCTTGCCCATAGTAGCCTCTTCCTCCCTCAGACCTGGGTCCCTCTCTTCTCCTTTAGAAGCTTGCTGCTTCCCTTTGTCACTGTCATCTTCAGAGTCTCCTTTATATATGATTACCACATTTCATAACTGAGAAATGTGGCAGACAGCATTGGTTTCATACCCAATCTGACTATTTTCAGCTTTTTCTTCCTCACTTTTCTCCTCCTATCGAGTCTGAAAATGCTTTCCCCTTGCAACTAGAAATGGCCATGTGACCCAGTCCTGGCCAATGAGTCGTAAGTTATGTCTGCTTGGAGGCTTCTGGGAAGGATTTAACTCCCTGAGAAAAGGAGGTAGGTTCTTCTCTCCTTCCTGCCATAAGTGCTCAGATGTGAGTACATGAGGTCTGGTGCACACTAGCATCTTCCAACTACGGGACAATAGGTCTGAGGGCAAAAGCAAAGTGCTCAAGATGTCGTAGTGAAAGGATGGGAAAAACCTGGGTTCTTGGGGACACTGGTGGGCCACTGGGCACTAGCCAGGAGGATTACGTGGAGCTGCACCCTCCAGACTTCTTATATTAATTAAATGTCTTTATTGTTCAAATGGTGTTAACAGGACAACCTATTTGCAGTCTCTGGGGGAGACAAGTTTCATGCCCATAGGGCTTATGGTCCAACAGGAAAGACAGACATTCAGGGTAACTGTAGAGTGCTCACAGTCAGGGCTTAATCATGGCTAAAGTATGAGGGAAGGCTTCCCCAAGAGCTGTGGCTTCAATGTGTCCCTTCTAGAATTCAGGTGTTGACTCTCTGTGGATGCTTTTAAGAGGTAGCTAGACCAGGAGGATCCTCCTTCCTGAATGGGGATTAAGGCCTTTATAAAAGTCACACAGCGTTTGGCAGAACTTGGAATGTCAGGGAAGTATTCCGAGGGAAGTATTCCGCTTGTTGGACCCTCCTCTGTGATCTAGCCAGTGGTCAGGAATTCCAAAAGCTCTGTGGAGTTTCCAAGCAGAGCACGGTAAGAGAAGTGTTTAGAAAGCTCTGTCTGATGGTAGGAAGGCTCAAGAAAGGTTTCTTGGGACTAATTAACTTCCAGATGCACCTGCAAGGTGGGAGCCCTTGTGCTGGGGTTGGCAGGTTAGAACAGCCTTCTCTCCTTCCTGCCCCAATTCCTCCAGTAGTGTCCAGAACATATTCTTAGCTATGGTTAAGCCCCCAGGCTCTGGGGCTCACAGTGGCCCAGTTCCTTCTGGAAGAAACCCCTCTCCCTCTCCTTTCCACAGCAGGAGCTGTGTTAGGGAATGTGGGATTGGCAAAGGTCACTTCAACATTCACTTCCTTCTTAGCATCTACCAAGTAGGCAAATACTGTCTTTCCAAGACAACTGGACCACTTGTCCAAACATGCAAAGCTAATAAGGGGCCTGAATGGAGATTTTTATCTATTTGACACCTCCCCCATTGTCCTGAAGAGGTTTATATCCTCTATAAATAAAAATTTTCATTTCTATTCCTTCCCATAGAACAAAATCAGATGTAAAATGATTGGTTCTAACAGTATTGCAAAGAAACCTCATCTTTCTCTCCTTTCCAGAGAATTCTACTTTAATTAATTCAGCAAGTATCTATAGGGCCAGACATTCTTCTAGTATTTTGGGTGCATCAGTGGTGAACATCGCAAAGATCCCTATCTAAGCTTGCAATTTTTCAGGCAAGACAAACAGAAGACATAAGAAGTAAATGGCAGACTTTGCCTTTTCTAAGGTGATGAGTGCTATAGAAAAAAGAAGGGGAACTGGAGAGTTTTCTCTTCCACCAATCAACACACCTGAGTGGCCAGGCAGATGGGAATTATGGAAGGGAAGGAAGAGATAGGACACAGTTTCTGTTTGTCATGATCAGCCTTTTGCCCATGGTGGGGATTTTAAACCAATTGCATGTGTTTCTTTGGTAACAAGAAAAAGTAAGTTTAAAGAGTGACGGATCCATATTGACACATGAGGTTCGGAACATGAGCCACCCTCTACTGCCACTGCAGAAAACAAGACAAGGTTCCTAGAGTTGATAGATTAAGAAACAGAAGAAGCACAAGCCTATCATTTAGCAACTTAAAGATGGCCATCAGAAGAATTTAAAACAGAAACCACTAAAAGAGTGAAAAAGTCATTTCTTCTAGAGAATAGATGACAGGGTGGGAAGGTGTAAGACAGAGTAAGTGGGGGCCTCCTGCCTTTTCTTTGGCTTTATCTGTCTGGCTTTTTAAAGTCATAGGTGTGTGCTACTTTGATGATTAAAAGAACCATTCTGCAGAACCCTAGGGGTCCTTGGTCTGGGGAGGGTGCCTTAGGGATGTCTGGGGTAGGGAGAGGATGAGGGGGTGGGAGAGCAAGGGCGTCCTGTCTCCCTTCATCCAAATCCACTTTCTTTCATTTATTTTATAGATCTGTCTTTCATGCAAGAATTTGTCTGAACAAAGGGTTCTGCAGCTAAAATTGGCTTGAACTCCATGATCCCTTTTGGCTCTGGTAATTAATGATGCTTTTAAAGCACCTGTTACCCTTTATGCTCATGCCTATTTGCTTTCTGAAGTAATTTCCTTCTTAGTCAGAAGCCTTGCCATCTTTCCAGTAGGCTATGGTTTGAAGTGATTGGTGAGTTCGCTGCCAGTTTGCTTGGTGTGGATGTGAGACCCTGCATTCAATCATTTGTGATTGCCACTCTATGTGCCTTGTGAGCCACTATTGGGACAGGGGTCCCTTGGCATTCTGTCTGGCCTCCAACCCAGTGGCTGCAGTAATGACAGGTGAACATTTTAGCCAAGAGTTCCTGATGTCATCCCAGGGTCTGCAACCTCACATGGGCAGGGTAGCTATGAGTTCTACTTACAGAACCTTGCCTCTTGCCTCCCATTTCACTGCCTCTGGTGGGAGGAAAGACGGGGTGGGGGAGCAGAGAGAGAGAGAGAGACTCTGAATTAAATTGAATGAAGTTAACAAAGGGAGGCAACTCCCCTTTAGCTTAGTCACCTCCTAGTGACTCCACTTGCAGACATGTGTCATGGTCTGCCTGCTCTTGCTCTGGTACTATTTTTAGGGCAGGTGCCCTCCATTCATGTTTTAGAGGCTTTTGAGTTGTCCTTGTTTCTGCTTGGGGACTGCTTCTTTGAGTCCAGGGTTCCAGAGGTTCTCATTTCCAGGCACTGCTCAAGCCTTTTCTTTGGTTTTCTTTGGCTATCTGGCAGTCTGACACTAATCCTCGCAGACCACACTCAAATTCCATAGCTTGTAAAACCTTTCCTGGACCCCAACTCTGAGAACTCTGCCTTCATCTTAGCACTTATCACAGACCCTAGTTGTTGTTAATGACACAGACCAGGTAAGTTATAAAAAAAAGAAGTTTATTTTGGCTTATGGTTCTGGTCCAAGGCTTATGGTTTATGCACAAGGGCTGCATATGGTGATGATTTCCTTGTGGCTCAGGAAAGCACATGGTAAGAGACAGGGAATGCATGAGAGACCTGGTCCAATTGGCTTTTATAGCAGATCCACTCTCGAGATAAGCACATTAACCACTACTTCATTATTTGCATGAGTTCTAATCACCTCTTGATTTCTCATAGTGGGGATTAAGTTTCAGCATGAATCTCAGAAGGGAAACCCTATTCCATATTCCAACCATCATACTGGTCATCGTCATCACTAGATGGTATTTTGGTGCCCTCCTGGGGTTGGGAGCATCCTACGGTCATTTTCTGACTGACTGCAGGGGATGTTCAGTAACTGCTCATGGAGTGAAAGGAAGCACATTTGCTGATATTTTTTCTGTGCTTTAGGAAATCCTATTGGATCTGGAACAACCATCACTGTGGGAAGATCTCCATCAGCGTTTCTGTGTAAACCCTTTCCTGTTTTTGTCTTGAAAGACCCTGTTTGGAAGAGTCAGGTAACATCTAGAGAAAGCCTCCTGTATTTGATGACTCCTATTTGGAGTGTGTGTGTGTGAGAAATTATTGCTACCATTTTACAGATCAGAGAACTGAGGCTCACACTGATTGAGACTCGCCTATGATCACATAGTAAATAGCAGAGCTAGAGACTGAACTCCATGCCACCTGGCTCCAGGGACACAGTTTCGTACCACACACTTCCTCGTAGTCTCCACAGTGTGCTCAGAGATGACACCATTTAAAATTTTCCAGACCACAATTTCCCCTCAAGCATTCAGGCAATTGTTTTCCTTCCAGACCCAACTGCTGAGACTCTCCTTGTCTCATGCCTTTTCTCCATTTCTCTGAGGTTTGCTAGCTCTTTCCCTGGCTCCTCTGCAGTCTGCAGGAGTTCATTTTTCTCTCATCTCTTTCCAGATATCAGGATTTCCAAATCTTTCAGTTGGTTTCTTTTTTTGGCTGTGGTCCTTTATTTTTGGATACTTTCCAAAGCAGCCACAGATTGGAAGATGATAACAGTGAATTAGTTAGTAGATCTTCTTTGATGTTATTTTGTGGGGGAACTCATTAATTTATGACAAAAACATCAAAGAGCTGGGCTCCTGCATGGGACTAGGTTGTCCCAAGGCATCTGGATAATAATGATTAGTCAGATTAAATCTCAAAGGCCTCTCGGCCTCAAGAGTTACAGTCCAGATGACTGGGGTGTGGGAACATCCCACCCTATAGCATCCCATACCAGCTTGAGTCAGCATGGTATGGAACTCCCCCCACTCTTCATGGCTTCCACTTTGATGCCTCCAAGACTTGAAGTCCAGTAAAGGTTGTTGTAACCACCCTGGGGGCAAGGTAGGGAAGGAGGCTGAAGCTGTTAAAGTCTCTTCTGTCAGTGGAGCCAGATGTTAAAATGAAGCCCTTGTCCTTGCATAGGTGATCTCAATGCCTTTTATAGCATCCTTGTCCTGTAATGACAATGGGAAGACATTTTCCTGGGCTACACAGGAAAGAGGCAGCACCATACCTGGCATTTGGCAAGCCTTCTATTCATACAGATTTAATGGACACGTTAGGATAAGTCATGATGCGTGGATAGTCCTTGACTAGTTGAAGTGGAGCTTGGAGTAGAGCTCAGGTCTTTCCATATACCACAAAACCTCCTAAGCAGCTCACATCTGTGGCCATTTGCCCTGCTTCTTTTGCTATCTGTGGTGGAAAATTGGCCATGCTCCTCCCCAAAGTCATCCCCTCTGTGTTTGTCTCAGATCTCATTTTCTGATGACATTATAGGGATTTGCTCCTGCCATTAGTCTGCTCTTTCCTGATCCATCAATGTTTCACTCTCCACTATACTTCCTATCAGTGTACAAACAAACTCCAATGTCTCTCATCTTGAAAAGAACCTCCCTTGCTCCCACCTGTCCCTCAGACCATAGCAAAATGCTTCTAAAGAATTGTCTGCACATGTAGTATCTCTACTTCCTCTCCTTTATTTTAACTCTCAAACCCACTTAATCAGGATCTCATCCCTATACCACAGAGCTCTTCTCAATGTTGCCAGTGACCTTCCTGCTGCCAAGCCAAGGGTCATCTCTTAGTCCTTATCTTATGCTACATGGAGAGGCTTTGGACACAGTGGGCAAGCTCTCTTCTCAGCCTTCCAGGGGACCATGCTCACAGGCCTCTGACTTCACTGCCCTCTTTTCAGCCATCTTTTTTTCTAGTCTGAAAGTAAGGAAGTACCCAGGATTAGTTCTTAGACAATTTTTCTAGCTATATCTAGTCTTTAGGTGATCTCCTGCTTTAAACCCCATCCACATATGGGTGACTCCTGAAGTTTATCTCTAGCTCCTATCCCTCACCTAAACCCCAATTGCCTTCTCTACTACTCTGCTTATAATATACACGTCAAACATCAAATGTAAGTCAGCTAAACCTGACCAAAATGCTATATTACCCATCCTTTCAAGCCTACTTATCCCATACTTCCTCTACTCTCAAATATATAGAAACCCTTTTCTTTCAGTAGCTCAGTCTTAAATATTGGGAATCATCTTTAACTTTTCCAGACCACATATCCAATCCATTGTAGATCCTGTCAATTGTGTCTAGAGCCTGGCCACTTCTCACCACCTCCACCGGCACTACCTTGTTGTAAGCCACCACCACATCTTGGGTGGACTAATCTAAGTGGTCTTGCAGCTTCTATGCTTGCCTCCCCTCCACCCTAGCATCCAGAATAATCTTTAAAATGCCACAATTGGATAATACCATGCCTCTAACTCTAATCCTTTTGAATTGGATCCAAAGTCCTTAGCAGGGCCTAAGTCCCATAAGACTGATTCGTTCTTACCACTTCTCTGATTTCCCATCTCTCTTTCACTTGCTCACTTCAATCTACCTACACTGATTTAGCTTTTTTTTTTTTTCTGAACATACCAAGCCCACTACTTCCTAGGGCCCTTATACTCTCTTATACTCTGTCCTCTCTGTCTGTACCTTGGCTCAAATTGTACCTTACCAAAAAAGTCTTCCCTCGCTATTCCTTCTAAGGCCTTCCTTCCCTTTGTCACCATCATTTTATCTTACTGGCAATGATCACAACTTGACATATTTTTTACTTACATATTATAGATTATTACCTCATTACCATGTAAGCTCAATAGGAACTTTGTGTATTTAGTCATTGCTGTATTTCAAGTTCCTAGAAGAATCTAGGTAGGTGTTCAGCGAATATACATTGATTGAATAGATTTATTGAGTGGACTCATCCAAGCTTCTCTCTAGTCATTGGGTAAAAAGAATGGTTTTCAGATGGCTGTCAAATTAATATGATCAAAATAAGCTGGGCAGGGACACACATCTGTAACCCTAACACCTGGGAGGCTGTGGTAGAAGCATTGGGCTATATAGAAAAAATGAACAAAAAAAGTAAGTGAGAAGAACTGTGAAGTTCTGGAGATCATCAGATGATGTGTTTATTTATTTATTTATTTTTACCGGTGACCACCGTGTTTGAAACTCTTTGATACCAAATCATTTACCAAACTCGGAGGTGGAGTGAAACATCTGCCTTTAACTTTTTTGGACTCTGTGTGCTTAGCTGTGAAGCAGGCAGTTGCTGCTGTGCTAGCTTATGGTCTATAAGAAGCTGGAGGGAGGCAGCGCAGTCAGGAGGAACACTCAGGTTCTGGAGCTTGATTGCCTATGTCTAAGTCCTGTCTTCATTTCTCCCAAGCCATGTGACCTGAAGCAACTTACTCAGTTTCTTCATTTGTAAAGTGGAAATAACAAAGGTAAGAACATGCTGCTCAAAGAGTAATTGTGAGGGTTACATAGTCAGGTGGCCTGGCACATAGCATGTGCTTGATAAATGTTAGCTATTACAAGTGGAAAGTTCTGGAGGAATTGCTACTAATGTGTAGAACAACAAACTACCCTATGATTGTAGATGATGTAGAATTTTAAAAGACATGATAATGATACTGTGGTTAGGCAGGAGAATGCTCTTACTCTGAGGAGATGGAATGCTGATGCTCATATAAAGCCTTACAATGCCTTTCCCTTCTCGTAATCTAATCAAATGTATCTCTGTTTCTACATGTCTCAATAAAGCAAATATAGTAAAATGTTGATTATAGTTGAAGCAGTTGGATAGTATAGTTTATTGCACTATTCTTTCAACTTTTCTGTATACTAGGAAATTTCAAAATAAAAAGTGGAAGGAAAAAAAGAAACGGCCTTCAGTATAGTCTAGTGCAGTCCAACCTCATATTTTACAGAAAGGGGACCATGAGCTCAGCAGGTGAGACAATGTCTGTCCACAGTCAGACAGCTGGAGAAGCCTGGAACCAGATCCCAGGTCTTCTGGCTGCCATCTGTCCCTTTGTGTGGCTTGTTGCTGTTGACCTTTGGACACCAGGGAGAAGCAGAGGAACACACCTAGCTCCCCACAGAGAGTTGCAGGGGGATTGTAGATGTGTATAAGGGCACCCGTGTTGGGGTTTTCTGTTTAGTAAGCAAACAGACCATTTGGTTGGAAGGTAGGTCTGACACCAACAAATGGAAGGCAGCCCCAGGCCAGACAACAACCCTTGGAGAGCTGGCATACTGGTTTGGCAGTCTCTGCCTGTGGTTTTCGAGTGGCAGGTGGAGTGTGTGTAAACTCTGGGATTGCAAAGGAAAGACAGAGAGTAAGGGGTGGGGACCACAGCCAGGAGGAACCTAAAGAGACGCTGGTCTCCATTCTGGAGCTCCCTGGAAGAAGAGACCCCAGGGTAGAGCTGGGGGTGAAATTCGGGCACACATTTAAAGAAAGGAAACGATTCTCTGCAGCCTGCAGCATCTTCGTCTAGCTAGAGGGAAGGAGAGGGAAGAGGAAAGATCCATGTTAGAATTTGGAACGTCCATGGTGGTGGTCAACATGTAAAATGAATGAGGAGAGAAAAAAAGAGGAAGTCTGGGATAGGGTGGGGGCCAGGTTAGAGCTGCGCTGCTGGGGGGCGTTTGGGAGGTAAAGAGGCCGCACCTGGAGGCCTGCGAACGGGTGGTTTCTGCAGACGAGTGTCTTGTCGCAGAGCGTTCCTGCCTCTTTCCCTGGAGACCGCGGTAGCGAGCGCAGAGCCCTGGCGCTCTTTCTTACTAGGGGGGAAGGGCAGGCAGGAGAGGCGGGGCCTCGAGGAGGGGCCTCGAGGCGGGGCGGGGCGGGGCGGGGCGGGGCGGGAGCGAGCCTGTGGCGGCCGGCGGGGCTCCTCTCCCGCGGGCGCCGGAGTCTGGGGGCAGCGGCTTCCCCCTCCCGGCCCGCGGAGGCGCTGGCCCCTCCTTCCCCCGCCGCCCCCGTCCCCGCCGCCGCGGCTGTCAAAGATAAACCGGGCCATTGCCTGCAGGAGCCGCGGCAGCGGGCGATCGGGCCGTGAGGAGCCTCGGGTGCGGCCTCGCCTCCCCGGCCCGGCGCCCGCATCAGCACCGCAAACAGCACAGCGCCCCTCGCTAGCACCCAGCCTCGCGCCCTCCTGTTTCTGGCCCGCGGCGCTCGAATCAGCACCGCGGACAGCGCCCAGTGTCCAGCCTCGAAGCCGCCAGCCCACCTGCTCCCCGAGTCAGCACCGCGGACAGCCTCCCTTGACCAGCCCCGCGGTAGCCCCGGAGCCGCCTGCGTCCCCGGAACATGGCCACCGAGGTAGGGGCGCGCACCCGGCCCGCAGGCAGTGTCCGACTGCCGCCGCGGGAACGAATCCCCGCTAGGGGTGGAATGGGCGGGAGGGGAAGGCGGGGGAGGTGTGGGGGTGCGAGGTGGTTCCCCGGGGCGAGTCCCAGGAGAGGAGGGGAAGGTGGGGTGGAGTGGCAGGGCGGAAGAGAGGGGCTCTTGATATGAGGGCTTATCTAGCCTTTGACCTGTCAATCTTCTCCATGCTCCCTCTGAGCCCTGAAGTGTCCACTTGTTGGCACCAGCGCCAGGGTTGCTCCAGGGTCCCAGGCTGGGGTCTCTCTTTCTCCTGAACTTCAGGGTTCCCACTTGCCCCAGAGGGTTGGAGACACATGCACGCGTGTGTAATTGGATGGGCAGGGGAGGTGGTTAGCTGCTGTTGTGTAGCGTGGTCACCCAGCTTCTGAACCCAAAAACCTGGCTAAGGAAGACAGACTGGCCTCTATATCTGCATTTCTTTTGGAGGAAGAATGGGACAAAGACATCCTGAGGCCCAGAACCCAAATGGTTGGTTTTAATGAGCTTTTTGCACTGTCCCCCCGCCCACTTTTGTAAACCACCCCTTCTTGCTTTTTCACCTCATTCAAGTTACCTGACTGGGTGTATCCACATTTGCTCAGTGTCTTGTGGGAGGCACATAGTAAAATCTAGGTGCAATGGTTAAGAGATCAGGAATTACTCCCTCCAACCCTCATTTTGTGAGGGAGATGGGAGCTCTTTATGGTCCCACTTTATAAGTGATAAAGCTGGCATATGGAGAAGGAGGACCAGTTTGACACTCATAGCATATCAACAGCAGAGCTGAAAGTTTCTTCTTTTGAATTTTTGGAGTGGAACCCAGGACACCCAGCTCTGATGTTGACTTCCTTTGTGGTGTCTCCTTATTTCCAATGTACCTGGAACACAGCCAGGAGAGCAGAGGCCTTTGAATGATTCTGTGCAGTGCCTCTGGGCATCCTGGTGATTAGAGTGACATCAGTAGCAAGTGCTATTGTAATTCCAGATTCTCCTCCAAAGAGCAAGGGGCAGCTGCCTGGCATAGTTTGACTTTCTGATGAAGCTCAGGTTTGGTAGGAGGGGCTGTGCCCACTCAGGACCCCATGTGGAGGCAAGCCCTGGATGGAGCTTGGAGCCTGGCTTCTAGAGTGGAGGACTGCAGAGCGCTCAGAGAGTGCCATGGACACTGAGAAGAGCAGGAAGAATAAGAGGAGAAATGGCCAAGGAGCTGGTCACCTTCCAGAGAGGGCTGCAGACTGCAGCAGAGGCTGTGGTGTTGGATAGAAAGGAGGCAGTTCAGCCACATGGGTGTGGATGGGCCAGCAATGTGAGCAGAGAAGGCGGCCCCTTGGGTGATGTGATCTGACAGATTCCAACAAGCCCATCTGTCCTAGCATCTCTCCCACTCAGGCTAACAGCTTCTAAGCCACAGGCTGACACCTCTAGGTTGAAGCCAGGTTTCCGGGAGGCTGCTGTAAGCATGATGACTCTCCCCTGGGAGAGGCTGTGCTCACAATGCTTCTGTGGATATAGCAGTTTCCTGTGTACAAAGTACCATCACACACGTGAATGCCTTTTAGCCTTAGAGCAGCCCTGTGAAGTGGCCAGGTATGGTGTTATTATCTGCAATTAACAGATGAGACAACAGAGGCTCAGAAGCTTGCCTGAGCCCTATGAAGGCGGCAAAGAAGGCATCATTACCCCATTTTACAGATGATGCAACCACAGGGTTGAGACTTAAGAAAATATGGCTAAAAAGTGGCTGGGCCAGGATGAACACCTGAATTGCTTGCCTCCATAGCCATTATCTTTGTTGTTGTTATTGCATCCAGGGTTAGTGTGTCCAATTAGGTAGTTGTGGTGTCTTAACAGAGAGAAGGGTGCCAGGGGCCTTGGCACGAGGCTTTAGTTGGGGGAGGTCAGGAAAGACTCAGATGTGAGGACTCTGACTGGCCTGGCTGGGTCAGCTTGAGAGCAGAGAGATGTCCAGAAGGGACAGGCAGCTGAGGACAAGCATTTCCCATTGCATGGTTTGGCCTTGGTGGACTCTGATGGCAGTGCAGAGGGAGGAAGCTGAGGCTGTGCCAAAGCACAGGATGTGTACAGTATCTGAGCTGGAGTGAGTCATTCTCCCCAGGCTGTTTCACTATTAGGATTGAGTTGAGATTACCAGGAAAAACCTGTTGGGAGAAGAAAACCTCATTCTAAGTTCTCATAGCTGTCCCCTTAGGATTCTGAAGAGGAAGTCCTCAGCTCTAGCTGCAGGCGTATTGACAGGAGAAGAGAGGAGAGAAAAAAAAGGAGAGAGGAGGGGTAGAGGGAGAGAGAGAAGATCTCTCTGGATGAAAGCTGGATATTTCCAGGTCCACAATTTCTGTTTACAACTTAGCATTAGGGGAGGCACACATGTGAAGGACGCAGAGGAGGGACAAAGCCTCCCGAGTCATGTGCTGACCTCATTCAGAGAGCTGTAATGAGCCCATTTGCTAAGCAGCTGACCTCTGCAAATGTGTGTCACTGGGATCAGGGTCTTCCTGGGAAAGAGTCCAGATGACCAAGGACAATTGGAAGGTGTCCAGTTGGAAGGGACTTCTCCAACTGGAGTTTGGCCCCTCTGAGATTTTTAAATCACTTTCTTCTTTTCTATTAACATACCCGCATATGACATACTTTGATCAAATTCGTGTCCTCTATTATTCTTATCTACCCCTCATTTTTTTTGAGTACTGGGGTTTGAACTCAGGGCCTCATGCTTGCTCAGGCACTTTACCACTTGAATCACTCTGCCAGCCCCCTGTGAGATTTTTTAAATGTACCCAAGTAGCACTATCCAACAGGGAATTTGGAGGTTTGATCTCTGAGGCATGAGGTTAACAACAGTCAATGATTTGGGCTTGGGCCCTGGTATAGACTGAGAAAGAGGTGACCCTGTGCCCAGCTTGCAGGTAGGCCCTACCTGGCTACTTCTGACTCACGATCCACACTCCTCTGCCATGCTCCAGCTAGAGAGCACAATGCTGGAGCATCAGTTGAATCCTGTGATTCTTGAGTTGCGCCTCACCTGCAACCTGTGCAAGAGATGGTTTTAATGAGGACAGAGATGTGGGCCAGGTGGGAGTCATTTGTATGTCTTGGGCAGACCAGGCCCAGAGCTCATTGCAATCCACTGGTTCTCCTCTCCAGCCCAGCCTGGTGGACTGTTAGGTGTACAGGCCCTAACCATGGGACCTGTGGTATTCCCTCTCCAGGCAGCCTTCTTGTCCTCATCATGCTGCAGCTTGAAAAGTGGTGCCAGCAGATCTCACTACTGAGTCTTTCCTCATCAGGTCTTGTCTTTATTCAGCTGCCAGAAGGCTGGGGAATGGTGATGGGAGAGAGGGGCTTGGCTGAGGAAGATGAGAAGGAAAGAGCTGCTTAGGTCTCTGGGTCAGTTGAACCTTTGGAGAGAAGCTCAGGAGAGCTGCCCAGGGGAGACACAGAGGCTGCAGCCTCAGGGAGAGGTGTTCTCATGTTCTGAGATCCACCTGTAGGATTCTGGAGCATTGTGGAGCTATGCTGAAACCCGTCTCCTGCTTCTGGAACGCTAAGTAGCTGGCAGGTGGCTGGGGGTCTGGCTCTAATTTTTAGTCCTAGTCTAGCAGCTCTAGGAATGAGTCTGGTTCACAGGTGAGCCTTATTTGGCCCACTTAGTGCTTATAAATTAAAAAAAAATTGGAAATATTTAAAAGTCAGGATATCTGATGTTAAGAAGATCTGAATTTGTGGCTGGTATGAAAAATCAGGAGTGCTGGCAACCTGGGCACACTCTCGCAAGGCAGCAATCATTGGCTCCTAGGGATTGATCATGAGTTCTCTCGTTAGCCAGAGGCCCCACCCGGCCCATTTACTGCTCAGTCCCTGGAAACATTTGTGTTCACAATCCCTGAAAAGACCTGTAGAAAGTCAGAGCTTGGAGGGGCTCTAGTGATATAGAGTTCCAGGTTTAGTTTGTAGTTGAAGAAATGAAATGGGAGCATAGAGAAGGGAGAAACAAGACTTTTCCAGGGCCATGTTGCCCAGTATCAAGTCTCCTACTCTCTGCTTAGTGGAACATTTTTCTGCTAGGGCCTCTTGGCATAATGAAGCCAACATGGATGGAGAGAGCCACGAGACCCTGCCTTGCTTTAAATCCTGGTCTTCACCAATTGCACCAATTGCACACATGAGCCTGTGATGTGTGTGCTCCATGTAGGTCTGGGAAATCAAGGCTCTGCCAAGTAAAATATGTCTGATCCCATTGTTTAGCAACTGCTCAGGTCCCCGTCCTCACTCTCCAGGGACAGAAGTGGATTTCTAGTTACCCGGAGCCAGGACGGTATCTAAAGCTCAGAAATTTGAGAACCTATGACTCAAAGCCAAGAGGAAATGGGACTGCATGTAAGGTAGCACCCTACTATCTTAATGGGTCAATACAATTGATGATTATTTCCTGCTTGGTAAACTCTCAGACAGAGTTCCTGATCAGCTGGTGGATGTTTTCCAGGCAGTGATTCAGGTCAAAGGCCATTTCCAACTTGTGGTTCAACCATCTTGAACACATGGCTCCTCTAGTGTCTGTGGAAGGGGAAAGAGCAGGAAGGAGTGGCAGGTCTTTATGGTCAAATCTACCCAGGACATCATTTTCACTCACTTCCACTCAGCCATGTGGTCACCCCTAACTGTAAAGGAGCCTGGGGATTAATTTAGCTGTGTGCCTAGAGGAAGGAGAATGGCTGGTCAGCAACCAGCTAGTCACTGAGAGACTCTCGTGGGAGCACCCACATATGTGTGTACATAGGCTCAGACAGAGGAAGATGTAGGCATGGGAGGAGTGGGGGCAGCTGAGTCCATGTCAGAATGGCTGATGCACTGTTCTTTCCCTTCTCACCACCTCAATTCTTGGTTTTAGGCCTGCTTTAGTTGTCCCCTGGACTACTACAAAAAGAATCTCCCTCCGTGTCGCCTAATCCCAGTCTTGCCCACTTCCTACAAAACTGCCAGAATGATCCTTCTAGGGTTAGAAGAATCTCATAAGTTGGTTTTAGAAGGGCAAGAGAAGGCCACAGCCATTTCTTTTCTTTTGAAAATATATTACCTTGAAGTCATAACTAGACCAACAGACACATCAGTGTTTAACTCATTTATATTTCCAAAGCATCTTTATTTTTCAAAATTATTGTAGGATCCTAATAGATGTCAAAAGGGGACCTCTTCAATGAAAGCCTTGATTAGCAGAATCAAGGCCTATTAAAACTAGAGGAATGCTTGTACATTATTTAATCCATTCCAAAACTTTGAGATCACATCTTTTACCTAGATTTACAAAGTCTTATGTAGTCTTCTCTGATTCCTACCTTTTCAGGACCTTGCTGTCTTAATTATTGGCTCCTTCTTCCTTATCGAGAACCTTTCTCTATTTATTCTTTCCCCCCAGCTTTTAAGTATCTCCCATCTTAAATCTTCTTGTCCAGCTTTGTGATCTAACTCTTGCCTCCTATACTAGCTCATCTCCCATGGCTCTTACCTATCTGTAAGCCAGCTGTAGCCCCTTGCTGCAATCTGCCTCAAGCCACTAGGTAGATCCTGCTCTTCTGTCTTCATCAATCCATTTGTCTGGTCACCTTTTCCTCTTCCCACTCACTATTTGCCTTCAGCACTTGTAACCTATGGCCTCCCTTTAGGACTTGACACAGGCTTCAGAAAGCCTTTTCTGAATGTTTCTGAGCAAGTGACTTCTCTCTACCATTCATCACAGTCTAATTCATTATATATTTACTTGTCTTCCTCCCTGGAGCTCACAGACTGTCTTTTGCTCAGCATCCCCAGAGCCTGGCCCTAGTAGGAACTCAATAAATGAGAGCTGAGCGACTGAACAGAGTCAGCTTAATTACACAGGATGAACTGGCTATTTGTTCAGTCTGCCTTCAGGGCCTGGTCTCCACGTGGTTCCAGTGTTGGGCATATTTCACCCAGTGGGATGTTGTCTCCAATGTGGGTGACTGAGGCTGGTGAGGTGGAAGAAAGAGGCCTTGTTCTTTTGTGGAATTGAGCCCACTATCCTCAAATGCTAGGGCCTGAGTCAATGTCAAAGTTTGCAGATTCGAACAAGGGACAAAAATCACCCACTCCTTCTTACCAGGGAAAGCTATTACTTCAACTTCTGGCCTCACTTTTTCCTCACTTTTCTCTGGGAAAGTAGACATTCCTGGGCACTTTGTTTCCTGTGGTGAGAAGCGTGGGATGTGGAAACCATCTCTGGTGCTCCCAGGCCCCAGTCATAACTTGGCCTGGACTTTAGTGTCCCTGAGTTCAGGGGAACATCAGTGTCTTCTCTGTCCCACATCCTCCCAGCCCCTACTCCTGTTGTGATCTCTATTTGCAGAGCTTGGTGACTTCAGTCTTGTTCAGTGCCAGGTACCCCAAGCACAGGGCCCGCCACCAGGGTGTCTTGTTCCTTTTGTTAAAATTGGTTTTGGTGCTGTGGATGGTTCTGAACTTCTCATTTGGCTCAGCTTTGGTTCCAATTTAGCTTCTTTTTAGACCTGTCTGGGATAATTCCAGCAGCTTTTCTAGTAAACGCCAGTCTTGCTTCCCCAGGGCCTTCTCGGAGCACTTGCAGCACAGCTGCCTCATTTCTGTTTGCTGTGAACTTGGCTCTGAAAGACCTCCATTCCAGGGAATAAGTTTAGGATAAACTGAGGTGGGTGGTCACCCTGAGCGTTTAAAGTTAATTTGAGAATTAAGATTTACCACAATGTCAGTGCCTAGGCCCCTCACCTAGAGATTGGAATTTAAGTTGTTTGGGATGTAACCTGGGCATTAGGATTTTTTTTCATCTCCTGTCAATCTCCTCAGGTCCACAATCTGCAGGAGCTCCGGCGAAGTGCCTCACTGGCCACCAAAGTCTTCATCCAGAGAGATTACAGTGATGGGACCATCTGTCAGTTCCAGACCAAATTCCCCCCAGAGCTGGACAGCCGGGTAAGGACACCTTTTCTAAACTTAAGACCCAGAGCCATGATTGAACTGAGGGTTTTATTAGAATGTATATTTTTCCAGGATCATGTGCCACATAACATCATAGGACACATAACTTATTCAGTCACTTCAAATGGAAGACTTAAAAAACCTTCAACATTGTCCTGCTATCTCCTCATAGAAAGTTCTTTGAAGAAGCCTCAGATTTTCTAGTCCAGTAGCTCTCAAATTTCAGTTGTACCAGAATCATCTACAGAACTTGTTAAACAAATGTAAATTCACCAGTGATAGCAGGTGATAATTATGTGCCAGCCAGAGATGCTGACTCAGTTGTTGGACTGTGGTTAAGTAGTCTCCACTTATCAGTGACCATTCTTAACCTTGCACATTAGAATTTCCTGGGGAGCCAAAAAAACCAAAAATTCCAATGTCCCCAGGCTGTACCCTGAACCACTTAAATCCCAGTCTGTGGGAGTGGGGTCTAAGCATTGGCATTGTTCTAAATCTTCATTCTTAAAACTGATTTTTAAAATTTAAGTGAAATAAAAATTTTGCTGGGTGCTGGTGGTTCACAGCTGTAATTCTAGTTACTCAGAAGGCAGAGATCAGGTGGATGTGGCTCAAACTAGCCTGGGCAAATAGTTTGTGAGACCCTATCTTGAAAAACCGTCCACAAAAATAGGGTTGGTGGAGTGGCTCAAGGTGAAGGCCCTGAGTTCAAGCCCCAATACTGCAAGAAAAACATTATTTTAAACATAATTGTTTAAACTTCAATTTTTAATGATGAATTCCCAGGCACAAAGGAATGGAGTGCCTCATGGGTCTCACTTGGGAGGTGCTGGTCTTCCAGCACAGTGCTTCTTCTCGATCTTGGCTGCACATTAGGGTCACCTGGAAGCTTTGGGAAAAGGTACCTTGCAGGGTTTCCATTTGGGTAGGGTAGGGCAGTGGGTCTTTACTCCTCTGACCATCCTCCTACTTCCCAGACTACTGGGGTCAGAGTTTCTTGGGGGTGAGCCTTGAGCACTGAAGGCTTTAAAAGCTGCTCAGGTGATTTTTGTGTACAGCCAGAGTTGAACACCACTAAGTTCTTGTTTTGAAACTGTGTTTTGTGGTTGACAAGGTCAGTATCACCTGAGAGCTTGGTAGCAATGCAAGATCTCAGAACTAATCTTGGATTTCCTGAATCTGAATCTTTTAACCAGATCCTCAGTGTACAAATACACAAATTAAAGTTTGAGAAGCATCCTGCAAGACCATTCTCTTGAGGAAACTTAAGGACCAGAAGGAGGAAGTGATTTCACTGAAATTAGAAAGCACTACAAGGCCACATGCCTTGCCTCTCTACTTTTCCACAGGACTCTGATACGCCTACTGACACAATTGTATCCTCAGTGGGTAGAGACAAAACTAGATGCCTTGTGATCAGAATCATGGCAGTGAAAGCTTAGAGACACAGAGAAAGTGTTGGAGGCTCCTTTTCCTTCCTTGCTCCTGCTTTGTGTGGAGGGGAGCCAATCTCCATCTCCATCTGCTGTGGCATCCAAGGCGGCTACCAAGGACTCTGTGTCCCTCTAGACTCAGACACTGCAGTACCTCATGGACCACGGACTGCTTGCCTGGCATCAGCTGCTGAGTTTTGCTCCTGGTTCTGGGGGTGCATGTAATCCCCATTCCAGGCTGCCTTAGAGCTAGCCTGGGACTGGGAGAGGACAAAGGGCAGGTCCTGGCTTTCTTTCTGATCAGCAGTCCAGGCACATCTGAATGGGTTTGGGAAGGGCTAGCCTTTGCTGATCTGACCCCCAGTGGCTTTTGGAGATCCATGAGAGTCTCTTTCTCATGTTAGCATGCTTATCCTTTCAGGTGAGGACTCCCAGGGTTGAGGGGCAGAGCTTGGGTTACGGCCAGGATAGGCGAAATTTTCTGCGTGTTTCCTCCTGCTCTACTTGGAGATAGTAGCTGGGAACCTCATAGCATCTCACTGTTCTTGGGGAGAGATTTAGTCCTAGACTTGCATAGAAATCCCTAAACTCTGTGATGAGCAGTTATATTTCTGTGAAGGTAAAACGGGAGGAGGTACTCTGAGGAAGGTGACAAATGGGGCTACAGATAGTTGGATACCTGCTGAGTTTGGAGCATGACCTTGCAGGTGTAGGGTTATGGTAAAGAGCCAGACTCTTGGGTCAGAGCTGGGTAACCTTGGACAAGTTCACTTAGCATTTACCCAGTATTTATTGTGTATCTGCTATACGTTAGGCACTGGAGATAGGGGAGTGAATTAATGGGCTTTTCTTTTCTACTAGACAGTACAGAAAATAAACATATAGTAGCCCAGGAGGTAGCAAATATAGAAGGAGAGGGTGTCAAGGGATGTGTTTGGGAGAGGTGACCTGTCAAGAGAGACTTCTTGGATAAGATGAAGTACAGGATGAGCCCTGGAGCTGTGTAGGGAAGAGTCTGTAGCTGAACACACAAGCACAAAGGGCCAGAGACATTTTCAATAAGCAGGGAACTAAATGATGAGGATAGCAGGAGACAGGTTCAGAAGAGTGGCAGGGTGAGGCCATGAGGGCCTGGCAGGCATTGTCAGGACTTCTTGGATTTTCCTTGCAAAGAGATAGGAAGCTCTTCATCAGAGCTCTGATGTAATCCAACTTTAACAGGAAGCTAGCACAGGGGTGGGTCAGGGAGGCTAGTGACGAGGCCAGAGATAGTGGTGGCTGGGATCACAGAGTAGTCCTCACCTGTAAAATGGAAAGTAAAACATTAGTATTTTGCTGATAAAATTGTCATGAGATGCAATGAGTGTGCAAAAAGAATGCCTGGGATACAGAAATTGCTCCATAAGTGTTAGCTATTATTATGGATACAGGCAGGCCAGCTTCTCACTTGTCCACACACACAGGGGTGTGATGTGCTGGGTGACCGCTTAGTTAGGAAGGAATGTCCCCCCTCTCCCTGGAGAGATTCTTCCAAGGTCTCACCTAGACAGTCTCATGCATTTGGGGTCCCCCTCAAAACCTGGAAAATTTGGCCCCCAGGAGTTTGGTTCCAAGTTTGGCACAGCCATCACAAAGTCACTACACTGCTTGTCTGAGGGGCCTCAGGAAGCATAAGATATCCTGAGAGCCTCCTGTTTCCAAGGGTGGCCAAACAGCCATTCTTATTCCCATTCTACAGATAAGGAACCTGAAGCCTACTGTGGGTAAGCCATTAGTCCAAGGCCAAGCAGCTGGTTCCCGGCCAAATCTGGACTGGACCCAGGTGTCCTGCCTCCCAGGTCTATGCGCTTTCTGCTCCACCTGCCGTGTCTTAGTCATACCCATGTGCCAGTATTTTATCTCCTCACGCTTATGTGTCTCCACCACCGTCACCCCAGCCCACCTGTGACTGTCCACACCCCAGAGAGGCTAACCCTGCCTGGCTCTGTCCCTCTCTCCCTTCAGATTGAGCGGCAACTCTTCGAGGAGACCGTGAAGACCCTCAATGGCTTTTACGCTGAGGCCGAGAAGATTGGAGGCAGCTCCTACCTCGAGGGCTGCCTGGCATGTGCCACAGCCTACTTCATCTTCCTTTGCATGGAGACCCACTATGAGAAGGTGGCACCTCCCCAGCCTCCCTGCTTTCCCTGCTCTCCACCTGCTCCCCCGCCCCCTGCTTCCCTGTCACAGCTCACCCCCAATGGGCCCCTGTTTCTGCAGGTTCTCAAGAAGATCTCCCGCTATATTCAGGAGCAGAATGAGAAGATCTTTGCACCTCGAGGCCTCCTGCTTACGGACCCTGTGGAGCGTGGGATGAGGGTCATATCCTTTCTGGCTCTTCTGTGTGACAGCACAGAGTTGCCCATCCAGTGGGCTCCCTGGCAAAGCTGCTGGGGGAAGTGGGAGGCACCCTAGAGTCCTCTGCTCAGGGTTTTCCCAGGATTCTGCATATTGCTGGCCACAGGTCCCTCTCCACCTTTAGTTATTGGGACTGCTTGAGAGTTTCAGGGTTTGTGTTTATTGAGCTACCTTTAATCAGTGCTTAATAGATACCAGATGCCATATTAAGGGCTTTGAAAATTGGAATTCATGTAATTGCCATTGCAAGCCTAAGAGGTGGGCAGTTCTTATTCTCCTATCTACACAAGGATGATGGCTCAGAGTCACCTAGCAGATCAATGTCAGAGCTAGGATTTGACCCCAGGCTCTTTCTTAACTTTAAGGCTCTCCCACCCTTCAAGGAATATGCAAACCCTCCACAATCTCATGTCACTCTCATTTAATCTCGCTGTAAACAGGACCCCTCCATCCTCTTATTTACCCTTGAGAACAATGAGGCTAGGATGAGAGGACTCCCAAAGGTCACAGTCCTAGTGGGAGGATGGAACAGGGAGTGGGCCATAGTTTTGCTGACCCCAGCTGGGACTGCAGGGTCCAAGTGTGTTCACATCTCTCCCTCCCAGGTGGTAGCAACAACAGTAGCACGGTCACAAAGTAATTTTTACTGCAAAACTTAGAGGAAAAATACCACAGAAAATACAAATGCCCAGAACCAGAAGTTTACAGAGCCTGGTGAGAGGTGCTTGTTTTCACTGAGCCTGTGCTATGTGCTAGGTGTTGTGCCTAGGGCTGGCTGTACACACAGGATTTCATTGAATTAAGCTTCCCAGTACCTGCTAGATTCTATTATCCTCATTTTACAGAGCCATAATTGACAGTTAACAAGTTAAGGGACCGGGGACTGCCTAGCTTGTGAGTGGGCAAGTCAGGATTTGAATTAGGCACACTGAAGTACTCATACTTCCTGCAGTAACACCACTTCACCAACCCGGCCATGGCCTAAGATAGAATGATGCTCCCCAAAGGCCAGACCCTGTGCCCCCGTGACCCTGGCTGTGTGCCTGCCCAGCCTGGTGCGCGACCCTGTGAGTATCCTGTTAGCTGAGGAATGAATGCGCAAGAACCGGCCTGGCGAAGGGCTCCCAGGTCTTCCCATCTCCACTGTCCTGGAAACAGCTAAGCTCTGCTGCCAGGGCCTCTGGCTGGGTTCCCCCATCCTGCTCAGCAGCGGGCATAGCAGCTCCTTAACCTGCGCCCCAGATCGAGATCTCCATCTATGAGGACCGGTGCAGCAGCGGCAGCTCCAGCAGCGGCAGCAGCAGTGGCAGCGGCAGCAGCAGCAGCGCAGGCGGGGGCGGGGCGGGGGCCCGGTGACTGGCCGAGAGTCCCTGCAGGGAGATATATGGCCGGAGCGAGGGCCTGGCCGACCTGCGGCGGCTGCGCTACCAGAGCACCCGATTCTGAGTCATTCTCTGCGCCCACCCTGCTGCTGGAGGGAGGGTGACTGTCCTCATGTTCCAGTGGCTATGAACCCATGTCCCCTGCCCCTGTCCCCTTGGCAGGATCAGTCCACTACCTGACCTGGAGCCTTTCTTTTACCAATGGGGCTGATGTGAGTCACCGGAGCCACATCTTGGTAGGGAAGGCTGCTTTGTGAAGAACACTGTTTGGACAACCTCTCTTTCTCAGCTGCTTCCCCCACACCCCTAAGAGGGGCCCAGAGAATTCCTATCTTGCATGATTCCACATCCCAAAGCCCGCATTGTAGTCCACTGGACTCTTCCTTTGGGTCCTGCTCCCTGTGTTGGCTCTTTCTGAGACCACTGAAGGGCCGCTGCCTGTCTATGATCCCACTTCTGCCAAATTGGACATCTGGCGAGATGGGCACTGTGTTGGGGACCTGTTCAGCCATTCTCCTGGACCTGTGGCTTTCTAGTTCTCCACTCAGAGCTGGAGGCCACCTCAACCTTGCCAAGAAGTGTCCAACTCTGAGACTTTGCAGGCCCCCAGATGCTGGTTGTGGGGTGCACAGCCTGGGGCTCTGGGAGGTTTTGTTGGGATCTGGGAAATGTCTTTGAAGAGAGATGTAGCCTTGGGGAGCCTGAACCTCCTGAAGTGTAGCCAACTTCCAGAAATAATGTGTGTGTGTGTGAGAGAATGACTGTGTGCACACATGTGTAGTGCACTGTGTGCATGAATGCAGGTATGTATGTATATAATGGGTGGGTACATATGTGAGTGCATGAATGTGAATGTGAGTGTATACATGAGTGCCTGTGTGTACACAAATGTGCATGAACCCATGTTTATCTGAGTGCAAGAGTGTACATGTATGAGTGTGAATGAGTGCGTGAATGCATATGTGTGAGTGTGTATGTGCTTGAGTGCGCATGTGTGTGAGTGGGAATGCACGTGTGTGCATGGACATGTGTGCAATAGTGTGTATGGCGTGAGTGCATGTGTAAGTGCACCTATGTGCATGCATGCACATATGTATGAGTGAATGAGAATGTGTGAGCTTGTAAGTGCTTGTGAGTGTGAGTGTGCACTTGTGTGTTTCCCTTGGCACTGTTGTGGCCTCCTTTGTCTTGTTAAAACAGTGGACGCTGGCTATTTCCTTGTGTGGGTCCTACCTGGCCCTCTGTAAGTCAATGTCCTAAAGCCCCTCAACCATTTGCTTGGGCTGCCCAGCTTGGCTCCCCCTTCTATTCTCCCCCACCTCTGACTCTACTGTGCACATTTTAGCAGAAGAGAAGTTGGGATCCTAGGAGAGCAGAGCCAACCTTCTGGTGGTCTTTAGTGCCCCTCTTCCACCGCCTGACAAACATTGGGGCCACAGATACTGCATATTCAGCCTCCCCAGACTCCAGGGCTCTAAGGCTGTGAGGCATGGCTTCCCTGGACATTCAAGGGAGCTGGCAACCTGCAGGGGCAAAAGCAAAATCACCTTGCTTGGAAAGAGGGGCTTCCCAGCCAACACTGCTCTGGCTCCTAAGGCCCAGGAAGCCAGTGGGAAGGAGACTTGGGACCTGGGATCCTAAGGTGGGTGCAAAGGGACTGTCTGCCTACCTTGCAGGAGGTGCTAGCAGTGGACAGGAAACAGCAGCCACTGCAGGTAGCTTTCTGGGGCCACACAGAGTCCTGGGTTTCTTCTGGACACCAGAGTAGCTTAGCCAGAGAACTGGAGTGGGGGAGCCTAATCCCTGAGGCCTCAGGAAGCCTGAGTGCTAGTGAGGCCTGGTGCAAGGGCACTCCCTACCCCACCCGCAGGGTTGCAGCCCCGCAGGCTCCACTGCAGCCCCTGACTCCTGGCTGCAGCCTGTGCCCACCCTGGCCCACAGTGTGGCTGGGCATTCTGTCTGACCTGTGCATCTCCCATGGGAGGGCTGGGCACAGGCAATATGGTGGCCTTTTGTTTTATTATTTCTTTTTCCAATAAAAGGACTTGCCCACCTTGAGGCTCCATGCTGCTTTCTCTGCCCCACAGTGACAGGGCCAGTTCTGTGCCCCAAGATCATGTGAGCAGATGTTTGGCTGCCTGAATTAGTTGCCTTAGCACACATTTGCAAAGCAGCAGATCCAACATGGGGCTGATGGACCGACTTCTCAGAATTTACAGTTTAGTGGGAAGACAGACACTCTAGGTTCTGAATCTTTGTTGGCACTTGCAGCCTTGGGTGGGAGGAACAGGTTCAAATGCCAAGCCCAAAGTAATCAATCACCAAATTAGGTAGGACCCATTTCTTGAGCTCTTAATCTAAGTTGGGCCCTGTTAGGGGTTGGTAACATGGGCTACTTAATACTAAAGATTAGGAAGTAGATGGGTGTTGGAGCTTGGTCCAGTTGTGTCTTCGATTTGATAAATCCTACATTAATTGAGTTGGATACTTTGGGTGTCAGATATTTTGCTAAAAGCATATGCTAGAGGTGGGAGGGGATTTAAAGTTTACCTGACTCCTGTCATAAGGTTCAGAGAGGCTGAGTGACTTTCTCCAGGTTACACAGCAGGTTGAGGAGGTTAAAATGGAAGTTTCTGAACCAGTTAGGAAGTTGCTTGAGCTGTAGGAGGCAGTCTTGTAGGTCTGTGAGCTAAGGATCTGTTCCGGAGGTCTCACCAGATAGTGGGGATGACGTTCTGGTCACCTGGAACTAGGTGAGGTGCCATAAGGGACAGCTAGGTGTGTGCCTGAGCCCTGGGCAGCCTGGACTTCTCTCTGAAGAAGTTTGACAAGCTCAAGCTTGGGCTGAGGGGGTTGGCATGAGGGCTGTTCTCTAGTGACATGGAGGGTCACTCTGGAGTCCTGCTTGGGGTAGGAAGTTTGTTCTGTTCTGGGCCCAGCTGTTTCAGTGAGGGGAACTTGCAGAGGGTGGGAATTTCGAACTGGCAAAATCCGCTCCACGGACTAAGAGGCGTAGTAATAATAATGATGAGAATAACAGTAGCTAACGCTTATTTAATACTATGTACCGGGCACTAGGCTAACACGCTACGTAATTCATCATTCAATCCTTTCTACAACCATCTAGGGCATGGATGATTTTTTTTTTCAGTACTGGGGCTTGAACTCAGGGCCTTCACCTTGAGTCATTCCTCCAGCCCTATTTTTGTGAAGGGTTTTTTGAGATAGAGTTCCGTGGAACTATTTGCCTGGTCTGGCTTCGAACTGCATCCTTCTGATCTCTACTTCCTGAGTAGCTAGGATTACAGGTGTGAGCCACCAGTGCCTGGCTGGATGATGATTATTTCCATTTTACAGATGAGGAGACTAAAGCTCACAGACGTTAAATTGCCCAAAGTCATACAGTGAGGAACTGGCAGAGCTTGAATTTTAAACAAGGCAGCCTGACTTCAAACTCTGGGGATCTATCCAGCTTCAGAGGCCACCTCAACCATCCAAGGGCTGAGATCTGGCAGATTTCCCAGGAACGACCTGGAACTGGCTGTGTGTGGACTCTGAGGCAGTGCTGGTACCTCCATTCCCAGCAGCCCAGGAGTATGGGTGGAATGTGCTCCGATGCATGGGGCTCCCCCACCCCAGGGGCAGCCTGAAAGGCAAGGGGAGACCTAACTCTGCAAGCTGGATGAAGTGTGGCTTTCTCTGGTGGACAGTGAATGACCTCCCATTGAAGTAAGCTTGTAGCTATGTCCTGCATCACCCTTGCCAGCCAGGGACAGGCCTCATGTCCCCTCAACCCCCTCTGAAGGGCACAGCACACTTGGTTTACCTCAGGTGCAAATCTGTTGCTGCTCAAGCTCTGCCAGCTGACTTCTGTTGGCTTCCTTCCTTTGGCCAAGGGTAGAGCGTGTGTGCTGACCACGGGGTTTATGGAAGCTCGAGGTGCCACGGAGTGGTGGGATCGTGCACTGCACCCAGGAATCAAAAGCGGTGGGGGCAAATCTACCCAGCTGCTCTGAAACTT